ATGTTTTGTTCCATAAAAACTCGTAGTTTTATGTTTTGTTCCATAAAAACTCGTAGTTTTATGTTTTGTTCCATAAAAACATGTCATTAACCCACGAGGTTCATGTTGAGCAGAGCGGCGGTGATTAGCAGCAGATTAACAGATTGTTTCAAGAAAGATCATGAAATATTTAAATGTTTTTTGTAGCGTTGGCTCATTCAGATCATTGTGAAAATGTTTAAGAGATAGTTTGTCAGTAGTTTGGTTCTTAATGTTGTTACTTTGTGTTTCCATAACTTATACTTTTTGTTTTATACATTTTGAGTCCTCACTGGAGCAGTTTGACCCCGGTCCCTGTAATGTTTGTTAGACGAACACACACACACACACGCGTGCGGTTCAAAGTAAAAGCAGATTTATTGATCAGAATCTGCAGTCCATTGATTATTACACAAGTATTGATTAATAATGATCAGTGAGCCTCTCCCTCGTCATTTGTTTATTTGTTTGTTGTTTTGGTGGATCGATGTTTACAGGTTGGAAGAGAGAAAACACTTTAATGAATCAACAATAGAACAAAGAGACGAGCACACACACATCCCTGACAGCAGGGTGTGTGTGTGTGTGTGTGTGTGTGTGTGTGTGTGTGCTCACCACTGACTGCAGCCGATTGATTTCCTGTTTTTTAATCAATAAATGATGAAACTGTGATGATCACATGATTTTTATCTTTCAGGGAAAATCTTTGTGTTTACTTTTATCCTGAATGAGTTCTCAGCTGCTGGACGCCTGCAGAACCAGAGGTTCTGGTTCTTTTTGTCCCCTCAGCAGGACGGACTCCTCAATAAGACACCTGGACTTTGTCCCCCTTGCAGATCCAGGTGGGTGGTCTGGAGTACTACCCGGGTACGCTCCACATCTACTCGGACAGCGCACTGACGCTGCCCGCCATCATCGGGCTCGGGGCGGGCGGAGGCGTGCTGCTCGTCGCCATCATCGCCGTGCTCATCGCCTACAAGAGGAAGACTCGGGACGCCGACCGCACGCTGAAGCGTCTGCAGCTGCAGATGGACAATCTGGAGAGCCGGGTTGCGCTGGAGTGCAAGGAGGGTGAGTTCTTTGTCCCCCGCCCCTTCGCCCCTGTCCTCTCCTCTGTCCCTCGCTCCTGATCGGTCTGCCTCCTCCTCTGTGTACCCCAGCGAACGTTTGAGTGATGGACCAAACAACCAACAGTCTCACATAGTCAGACTTGACATCAGCCAATAAGGTTGATGTCAGAGAGGTTGATTGTCTCGCCCTTTTTTCTGCCACTGCCGCTCTGTCTAGCTGAAGATTTCATGAGACAGAGGAGGAGACGGTGCAGCGAGACTGAACTGACTAAACGATCACAGCTTCACAAACTCTGAGATCGACAGCTGCAGTTGTGAGTGAAGTCCAGAACTCTCTGTTGTAGCCTCGTGCAGCATCGGTCGGTTGTTTGGAGTGGGTGCAATATTCACCCATCCACGTGTTGCTGAGAGGATCAGTTGATGGGAGCCCCCAGCCCAAAGGATCAACGACAACTGGTAGATAGTGACCCCCACTGGTCACAACAACTGATAGATAGTGACCCCCGCTGGTCACAACAACAGGTAGATAGTGACCCCCGCTGGTCACAACAACTGGTAGATAGTGACCCCCGCTGGTCACAACAACTGGTAGATAGTGACCCCCGCTGGTCACAACAACTGGTAGATAGTGACCCCCACTGGTCACAACAACTGGTAGATAGTGACCCCCACTGGTCACAACAACAGGTAGATAGTGACCCCCGCTGGTCACAACAAC